GGGGGGGGGGGGGAATAAGATTGTTTATTTTTCCAGGAGCAAAAACTTTCCCATGTAATCCCTCAACAGCAGCATAAATCAGACACCATGCTGAGATTCCAGAATAGAAATGGCCTTGCCTATTTCATAGCAATTCCATATTAAACTGTTTTATAGATGTTGATGACTTTATGTTGGAGGCATAAAGCTCTGTCTATAGTGGGCACGTTTCAAACTTGTGCATTGAAAATATTAAACTGGAACTGTTGACAAAGGCATTCAGACAGAGAGGCAGCCCAACAAATATAAATGGCTGTTAACATGCTAACGTTATGACTTTTGCTGGACCCCATCCGTGAAACTAGTTTAAATCTAAAGATAATTCCTTTCTCATGGACATTTATTGCTAAGACATAATACATATTCCTCATTCTTTTTGAAGATTCTTTAATGTACTAGAAGAGCGATATTATAGTATGTTATTAGCTGTTCCTCTGAAGTCAGTAGTATTTTGCTGGTTTTAAATCAAGTATCTGTGACATTACTGCATTATAGTCTAGCTGATTACTTGTACTTCACACATTACAAAATCTCATAATGAGTTACTGTTTTAATAAATGCGCCTTTTAAAATTTCAAGCATTTGTTGAACTACTGAACAGGAACAGAGATACGTTTGTGAAACAGAAAGTAATTTCCAATTGCTACTAGTATGATGTTAATACCTCTGATTCTTGCCTTTGCTTATTTGTAACCTGTGGGATTTCTTTGCTTAAAACAGAAGAGGAAGAGGAGCTGCGGAGATTTTCCTTGTCAGGTTTCACCCAGCAAGGTGTGCAGCGCCCTGGCCCCAACCCAGCACAGCATTTCAGTATAGGCTTTAAGTCAACAGCGTATTCTCATTTTTCAAGGTAAATGCACACTTAAGTGCTTTATTGAATGAGAGCCAGAATTTTAAAGCCTCCAGAGAGGGAAAATAATACCATTTTTCTTTTCTGTAAGTAAGGTTTTCAGTAACAGACTACCAATTCAATCTTTTAATCTCCCTTATGCTCTCACATAGACATACACAGAACAAGCAGGAAGCGCTTTTCTTAAATGCAAAGGCAGTTAATTCAGTTCCCACGTTTTATACCTTTTTCTTCTTCCGCTTAATTGCTTTATCAACATTTCTTGAAGGAAAGGGAAAGTCAAAGGTGTCAGCCTTAGCCTCTCGAAGGTCACCTGGGAAGAGAGTTTAGAAAGCATACAATATATTCGTGAGGAAGCTGTAGATTTTCCAGAGGGATACTTATTTCTGGTCCCAGCAGGTTACAGGATATCAGTCCTTGCATCGTGCTATCCCTTGCTTATTTTCTCCATTATAACCATGGGGCAAGTGGGCATCTCTCAAACTCCACAAAAAAGATTTCAAAACTGCACAACATCTGAAAACTGAGACAACAGGCTTCTAGGCAATACAAACTAGCTTTTAATTCCCTCTTTTTCCCCTTGCTGTGGCAGCTACTGAAATTTTGCCTGAGCTCAAAGAGGAAATGGTGAGCAGACTGAGGCAAGAAAACCAGAAAAATCACTTCTGCCAGCAATAAAAAACAGAAGCAAGAAGGGCAGGTTGATCTTGTGGACTCAAGACACACATAGCCGCAAGGAGGAAGGACTCGGGTGAGTTCCTACCGGGGTGAGAATGGCGGCTTTCAAAGGAGCCACTGGACAGGCAGGGCATGGCATGAGCTGAGCAAAAGGGTGACCCACGTTGGGATGCTGAACATGGTCACAGCCGCAGGCTCGTCCCCTGTCACAGCAGGGCTTTAGGTAAATCAGCATCCTCTGGGCCACCACAGCCCCACCACCAGTTACCCAAGGTATCCACGTAGCAGGAGCAAGGCTTCATCACTGGTAGTCACAGGCTGCCTCCGAGGCACAGGCTGCCATCACTCAGATAATAATCCAGCTGAACTGCTGCTTTTAATTACAGACTAATGTTAACATTTCACTTTGTCATCTTTAGAAAAATGGCTTTGAGGAGGAGAAAACAAATAGAGGAAAATTAAAACATCTCAAGAGCAACAAGTTAGTAAAATTCAGGACCACCCTATGTGTGTCACCCATCATTTCCAGCTCACACCCGAGCTGCTTCTCCAGAAGCCAGGTCATGTTCTCCATTTTCACTCCATTTTATCTTGTGCAGCAGAACTATGTTTTGTAACAGATCACAACCAGTGGAAAACTGCCTCATCTTTTTTGTTTGCTTCTATAAAAAAAAAAAGGCACCCACACCCATGCCCGTCCCAACTTTCTTTGGTCCCAGCCACAGAGAAAGAACAACATGAAGAAACATCTTCAGTCTGTCACAGCGAGGAGGGAGCCAGCAGCACAGCAGCTCCCTGGTTAGGCAGGAATCTCCTGAGAAAAGGCAGGAAGGACCCAGAGCAGCCATGTTGCACATATAGCTTATTTTTGGCCTTATTGCTACCTCAGAAAGGGATGGGGAAGGCTGCTCAGCAGGCAGCCGTCTCATCTTACCAGGTGGAGACACTGAAGGTCAACACTGTAGGAGTTTGGGGCAAAAATGTTAAGTTTTTCACTCATGAAAGTTTAACACCATGCTCCACCTCCTGCCTAAATACCCAGTCTGATTGAACTGGGTGTATTAACAAAAAAGTTGTGTTCACCCCTCAGTGTGCCCAGGGAGATTGCAAGGGAAGGCCCTCGTGGGAGAGCACCAACAGCCCACCACAGGGAAGCGGTTCCCCACCAGAAGAGGAGGACATGGCGGGGGTCAGCCCTGGTTCACAGAGGACCCTGCGGCTCAGTTACACATACCACGGTGGCGGCTGATGGCCTTCACCATGCCACAGCTCCCCACCGCCTGCCCCCTGCCACCGGCAGTGTGCGGCCCAGGGACGGCCATGTCCCCTGGCGCCGGGGTGGCCCTCAGCCCCTGGGTCTCCCTGGTGGGGCTCGGCTGGGAAAGCGGGGGCGCAGCCCGGCCCGCCTCAGCCTGCGGACACCCCCTGCCATAGCGGATGACGGAGCCGCAGCGGTGGGAGCCAAAGCTGTTGACATAAACGAGCTGCATCCGTGGCCTGCCCTGGCTGCGGCTGGGATCCATCTTGTGGCGGGGCATGACGGCGCTGAGGCCCTGCTGAGGGGACATGGCGGCTCGGGGGGCGGGCGGCCTGGATGCCGCGCTGTGTGGGGTGCACGGCCCCCGCCACCCCTTCCTCTGGGCAGGCATGGCCTGGGGGGGCCTGCAGAGCAGCCTTCCAGCCTCGTCTTCACTCCTCGCCATCATCCCATTTCAGTGTCCCGGCTGGACTGTGAAAAAGGGAGAAATAACTGTTTTCTAAGCAGGAAGGGACAAGGGGCTAAGCGCAGAATGGGAGCGGGCCTTGTACCCTGCCAGTGTCTCTCTGTCAGACACACAGGGTAGTAACCGGCTCCACAAGGCTGCTTTTGGCCAGCATTAGTTAGGGTTTAAAACAAAGTATACTGCCTGAACTCATATATTGATGTATTTCGTGCAATTTACTGATAAAGCGAGATAGGGGACGCATGTATTGTCTGTCTCTCCCGCAATTTACAAGGAACAAGCAGCATCTTGTCAATGCAGTTCCTGCGTTGCTATAATGAATTTTCACACCACTGTACTCCGAAGAGCTTACCTGCTAGTGCACATGGGGGTAGCTCCAGCCACCTGCTGAACAGCATCGATGAAACATTAAGTTTAAATACCTGTTGTCATTTTGTCCCTCAAGCAGCAGCAGGCGCACCGTGTGGTACCCAGAGGATGCCCATGGCGGTGGGGAGCCGTCCACCGGAGATGCTCCACAGAGATGAGCCCCACTGCAGCAGCGGGTTTTTGAGTTATGGCTAGCGACAAGTGGGATTTCTCAAACCACTTAAGAGCATGAGCCCCATTGATTTTTGCTTTGGCACCGAAGTACTGCTCCCTGTGATTTCTGAGAGTTTCAGCACACTTAGCTGCTCAGAGGAGGGAAAGCATTACAACTTAGAAAGAATTCAGTGAAATTCAGTGAAATAAATTCACAGAATCATTGGAGTTGGAAGGGACCTTCTAGAGATCATCTAGTCCAACTCCCCTGCCAAAGCAGGGTTGCCCAGAGCACATCACTCAGGACGGCATCCAGGCAGGGCTTGAAGATCTCCAGAGAAGGGGACTCCACACCCTCCCTGGGCAGCCTGTTCCAGGGCTCTGGCATCCTCACCATAAAGAAGTTCTTCCTCATATTTGAGTGGAACTTCCCATGTTCCAGCTTGTGCCCGTTGCCCCTCATCCTGTCATTGGAAACCACTGAAAAGAGTCCAGCTCCATCCTCCCTCAAACCACCCTTTACATACTTAGAAGCATTAATAAGGCCTCCCCTCAGCCTTCTCTTCTCCAGGCTAGAGAGTCCCAGCTCTCTCAGCCTTTACTCATAAGGGAGGCGCTCCAATCCCTTAATCATCTTTGTTGCCCTAAATTCTACAGAAAGACTGTTTTTTGTTTTGTTTTGTTTTCTTATTGTTTTAGCAGCACCAGCAATATGAATGGTGCTGACAATTTGTCGCCCTTGTGAATGGATCCCAAAAGGCGAGGAAGCAAACTGGAGTCTTTTCCCCAGCCAGCCTTCGGAGGAGGAGGAGGAGGAAGAGAAAGCCCCCGGGCTCTGCGGGGCTGCTGTCCCCTTGTCCCCCGGGCAGGGCAGGGTGCTGTGCAGAGGAAGCCCACCAGGTGGCAGCCTTACCTACGGAACAAGCCTGTGTCCCCGCTCCTGCAGCGACCTGGCGGGGGGGAGCCCAGGGCAGGGAAACAACCCACTGCACTCTGCTGAGAGGTATCCCAGGACTTCCAGCTATTTTATACACCCTCAGAAAAAAAGGCATTTTGTATATGCAGTTGAAAAGGTGGAAAACGACTTCCAGAGGCACAGCCCGACAGCTCGCCAGAGTAATTTGTTATTTCCCAATGATAAAAGGGCATCTACTCCAGGCTCCGAAGAATAAAGACTGAAATGAAGGTCAGATACGATACAATCACCAAGTCGGTAGCCTTGAGATCAGCTGTGATCTCAGAAAAATAACCCAAACACCAGAGACTCCCTCCTCCTCTGCAGAGGCCTAGTGAGGCAGCAGCCAGCCAGTTCAACGTGGGGGTACTAAGTCCAGAGAGAGGCAACTGAGCAGCTTCATTAAAAGCTGATCCTGGAGTGCAACCTGCATCATGTCCATTAATTACAAAGCCCTGTGGAGATAGCACTTCTTTGCTGAAATACATGAGTCTCAGTCGACACCACAAAAAAACCCACCATGGAACACAGGAACATAAACCTAAACAGCACCATTTTCGTTCTATGACTGTCCTCACGCTGTGCATGAACACTTGCTGCTCTACCTTCCTGACCAGCAGCTCACTCTGCCAACTGGCAAGCTGCTTCCTTCTTATGGCTCTGTCAGGGCATCAGGGCTGCCAAATCAGTGGTTTTCTCAGCATCTGTATTTATGGAATATGCTTCCACCCTACTCATACAAATACGCATGCCTTGTGTGGCACATTTTGTCCATTTTTCCCAACAGCATGTTTCCTGGACTTTGATTCCAAAAGCAAATTCAGCTCAGATCCCTTTTAGGATCTATTGCCACTGACAAAAATCAATGCCAGCTAAAATCTACGAGTAATCTGAAGAGCGAGAAAATTCAGCTCTTTTAGCTGCCACTGTCCTTCAACCTCCTTTCCACGTGTGCACTGACAGCTAACCACCATCTCTGTGTTTGTCACTTTGGACAAACATCTCAGTTCTTCACCACATCTTCAACTGTCTAGTTCAAAACAGACCAGATTCTAGCTTTCAGTCTGTACCTCATCATGCTGTTTGTTTCATATTCGAACGGCAGCTTCTCCAGCTCAGAACTTGCATTGTTTCCTGAATTCTATTGTTTCAGTTTTACTTTGGCCAAGGACGCATCATCTTCTGTTAACCTTGACTACTGTTCTAAACAAAGGTAGGGTTTGGTGGTAGCAAGTCTGCAGCTTATGCCGAGGAGAAGGAAGGAAGGAGCCGATGGGACGTTGCTGCACACACACCTAGTGATTCCCTCATTCTCTAGTGGTTCCCTGCAAAAAGGAAACTCCTTCTGCTCTTAGAGGTTTGTTTTTCTATAAGGGTTCTTTGCAATGGGGTTAAACAAAGTACTCACGTGATTCAACATAATTCAGGAAAGGCAGATTGTTGATTGTTTATTAAGTATTACTTTATCTTCATCAGCTGCAAATTGTGAATACCTCTGAAATACAAATCTTAACACTGTTAACAGGGGTTTTTACGTATGCTAATTCTGACATCAGCTACAGTCAAACCTTGCTAATTATACCCTCAGCAGTAGCATAAACAATTACTCTATCTCCTTTGTTTTCACAGAATATTTAATAAGAGTCGCTGGAGTGAGGTATTTTATTAGAATGTGGTTACTTTACAGACTACACCGGGGACCATTTATTTGTATAACTAGGAATCATTATAAAAACAAAACTCACCACTTTTGGTAAATCGAAGGAATGCATTATGCCTTCAGTTTTTGCTTACTTACAAAATTTCATAATTTACAATGGATCTCACAGTTAATTATGCAAGCAGCAACGCAGCGCAGCAGAGATAAAATGGCCAGCTGCCATTTTAACACACCTGCATTTCCTATTAATGAACCTGCGTATCTCAGATTGCTGCACAAACCATACTTGTGGGAATCACTTCATCCACACCAGTCATAAGGAGAGGCACATTTTCCCATTTCTCCATGCTGCGCATAAAAGTATTTAGCAGACTATAAAATAAGTTTGTTACATAAAAGCCTGAGCCTCCCCCTGAGAGATTTTCAAATCACTGAGAAGATCCATAGACATTATAATCAAAATCCAAGTCAAGGAGACTGGAACCCTTGGCTTAAATACTGTAACATAAAGTTCTTCTAAATAGAGATTGCCAATCTGAAATAAAACAATGGGGGAACTGAAAAAGGAAAAAATGATTGCTGAAAATAACACCAAAAATTTAACAGCCTTATTTCCAGAAGGGAAAGATTTGTCATCAAGTAGATACAGCAAAAGGCAGGCAAGGACTTCAGTTTCTCCCATTTCATTTTTCTACACGAATGTGCAAGTTATTGGTATTTAATGATGACATCCTTTGTTTCCAAATCAGAGACAACAGAACTTTACCTTGGCTCTTTCAAATTTCAGGCTGTGGGGACTATAATATTAAATATTACCACTGTCATTCTTGGGAATGTGCAGTCAGACCCCACATGCTCTTTCAAATTTCAGGCTGTGGGGACTATGATATTAAATGTTACCACTGCCATTCAGTTAGACCCCACACTGAAAAAGGAAAAAATGATTGCTGAAAATAACACCAAAAATTTAACAGCCTTATTTCCAGAAGGGAAAGATTTGTCATCAAGTAGATACAGCAAAAGGCAGGCAAGGACTTCAGTTTCTCCCATTTCATTTTTCTACACGAATGTGCAAGTTATTGGTATTTAATGATGACATCCTTTGTTTCCAAATCAGAGACAACAGAACTTTACCTTGGCTCTTTCAAATTTCAGGCTGTGGGGACTATAATATTAAATATTACCACTGTCATTCTTGGGAATGTGCAGTCAGACCCCACATGAACACACAGATGGGGCAGTTCAGTCCTACCTGCAATAAACCTCTGGATACTGTCTTCTCGCATCCCAGAAGAATACTGGTTCAGTATAGGATATAAAAAGCAAAAATTATGAAATCATCCTCAGATTCAGCAGTAATGTAGGTCTTCCAAGACCATCTGTCCAAGCACAGAAAGCTCCCATTTTCTTAGCCTCTCTTCTGAAATCTAACATGACCTCAGGCCAAAGTGTGCTGGTGGAATCACCAGTACGTCTGTCTGCATACATGAGACAGTCGTGTTTACAGTATAAATACCACTGAACCTACTCGTTCCTCAGCAGTAAGTCCACTTTGTAAGGAATCAGGGGTCTTTGCAGAAATGTTCCAGCTCCTTAACATTCACTCCCTCCCTACCCCCAGAGACATAAGGATGCTGCCAGGAAAGGAACAGAGCAGGGCTT